AGGAAAACTTTAGATAGTAATCATTACGGACCAATTGCGATAAATTTGATAACTGGAAAACTGACGCATGTGGTTTGGCCTTGGGGGAGTAGGGGAAGAGTTAGGTGGGAGCAGTGGAAGGGGAGGACGAAGGTGGTGAAGGGGTGGAATGGTGGGGCGTGATCTACTATCCGGATATGGTTGAGAAGCTTGATATTGGTTGAATGATTGATCTGGTGTTCTTCCAATGGGTCTTGTGGTAATACGGGCTCTTGATTTGTATGGGCTCTTGATTTGTATCACCGATCGAAGGATGGATAAAGTATGAAAGCGGATTTCAATTGACTTCTAATACTATCTAAGCCGGACATAGTAATTATCAATCTAGGAAACCATCTATCTATTCATTCTTTTTTCCCTCCTCTACCTCCGGTTTCTTATCCGCAGCTACCCCCATAGCACTTAACGCCTTTTCGATCTTTCTATACGCAAACGAGAAGCCTGGGTAAAGGAATGGTCTTAGATCATATCGATTGTCATCGGGTGAATATTGCTCAGCATGATAACTCGGTGTAAGGGTAGTCATCTTATGACGATTAGTAGAATAGCACCAAAAGAACCATCTAGTCTTTTCATAAATCTCTCTTGGGGAGAGGATATGACCCCATTCATGCAAAAGTTTGGTCCACATTCCATATGGTCCTAACTTATCCACTTTGCGAAGACGACCGTAGATTGATAACTCGTTGTAGCTCATACCCATGTCAGCTTCATCACTCTGTACGTAATCCTCGGTAATAGGTTCGAGTTCAGCAGTTGGTGGAGCGTCGATAAAGTCTTGGAGGAGCGGCATTCCAAATTCTGTACTGGCCCAGAGAATGAATCTTTTCAAATCCGTTTTGGAAATGGCGCCAATGGGATTGATATCTGCACTACTACAATCGTATTTTGTGAAGTAACCTCTGAGTGATTCATCGACATTTGCAGATCCTAGGACTAATAAGGATCCGGGCTTTGTTCTTCCACGGACAGTAGGTAAGAGTTGGGCAAAGAGATAAGCTAAAACCATGCGAAGTCTAGCTTGGATGTTTTGCAATGCCAAGTTCGATGCCGGTGTTCCTCCATACATCTTGTACTTCGGCGTGTAACTGGTAACGGTTGTGAACAGTGTGGTGACCGCTGAAACAACAGTGTCAATGTTGAAATCAAGATGGTAACTACCAATCTTTTCACCTAAATGCTTGGCGCGACCTCGTGTCTCTGCTGAGGAATTTTCAGATCCCATATAAGCAGTATGGAAGATGCGATTGGCAATGTCCTGTGCGCTGGATGGACGCCATGTGCTGTCTTCCTCTTCTCCAACGATTCTGAGTAGATCTTCAACAACCTGAGGGTTATCGTCTTTCTCAATTGCTGCATAGACGATTCGACACATCGAATGAACTATGACTGAAGTAGCACAACTATCGATACCTCCGGAGAGTGGCACAAAATATCCCGCCTGGCGAGATCGACGAAGGTAATCCCATAAGAAACAAGCTGGACCGAGCGCAATCTCTTCCTCAGGAACGTGATATTTGATTGGAATTTCCTTGGTAGGTTGCACCAAAGGATTCACGTCTTCAGCATCACTCGAAAGGCTCATACCAGCTTCAATTCTTTCGTATGCCGCTGTTTCCCTCGATTGCATGGCGCGGGATCTGAAGGTTCTATATGCCCTCACCTCTTCTAAATCAACAGTGGCAGTCACCACCTCTACGTCGTATAAAGAGAATTGACTTGCTTGAGCGACAACTTTACCATTGACAACAATCATGGCGGATCCATCATAGTAAAGGCGATCTCCATCGCAGCCCTGCTGATTGGCATATAAATATATGCCTCCGGCCTTCAAAGTAGCTTCCTTGATAAGTTCAAGACGAATGTTTAGCTTTCGAAGCTCATGATGACTACCACTGCTGTTGGTAAAGATCTCAACACCATCCAATGACATATTTATATGTGGTGCCCTTGGCGTGAATAACTCCTCGCAAGTCTCAGCACCAAAGCAAGAATCGTAAGTACTGATAACAGCATCTCCAATCGGAACTTTATGTTGTCCCGTTACTTTCGTGATTAGTCTTGGCAAATAGTACTGCTCAACGATCCTCTCTCCTTTCCATGGTGTGAACCATCTCTGCTCACGATAATTCCCATCAGAAGCCAACGAGAGCTTAGGTCGAATGAGTAATATCTATTCCTTCATTAGTTTCAGCTCATTATCAAGAAGATTACCAACAGCTCACTGACCTTAGAGTTATAAACAATAATTCTACAATTATAGTTTACATTTTTATGGCGAACTGGCATTCCTATATCAAGTAGAATTTCCTGACACTCCTCATGAGCAATGATTTGCGCTAGAGACTCCCACGAATGCAATTCTGTATCTGATTCCAGACTACTATGAATTAGCTCAAATTCAATTCTTCAAAAGCGCCTTCAAAAGTCCAGATGGCAAGTCCGATAACCAGGAAGTTTCGATCTCTGAATTCAATTTGAACATTCAAAGCATTCAAACCGTTCAAGTCATTATCAAACCCAAACCCAAACCCACAATGCTCATCCCATTCCCCTCAAACTTCTTTCCCAATACCAAAACAAAACACTTACAAATGATCCTGACATCCATATCCCGTAACCTCCAATTCCGGGCCAACCCTCAAGGACGCCCCCGCCTTCTTCGCCCGTCGAATACTCTCAATAATGCGCTTTTGATTGCCGTCAAAATCCAGCGCCCACTGATTAAGATTGCATGTTGCGAGGGTTGCGAGATGACCCATCGTCACGAACTTTCTGCGATGAGAAAATGGCGTGATGTTGTGCTGGATTCTACTGCGGGTGAAGTATCGTGGAGTGTGTAGATGTATAATACAATAGAACCTGGTTGTACCGATATCAAAAATTCAACCTGTTTGTATCGGTGGGTTAGACTAAGGTTATCAATACCTAGTACGTTTAGTTTGACATATGACTAAATTAGTGTTACACGTGATTATTTTAGCTTCGGAAAAGTTATAGTATTCTTTTGAAAACCTCGCCCAAAGCTAGCAAGAATATTCAATTTTAGGACTAATTAGCTTCCCTCTAAAGATAGTAAAACGCTTCAAAATAGAAATATTTATTAGAAATTTAAGATATTTAATAAATAATCTACTAATTGAGCGAATCAAATAAGTTTAATAGTTTCTATAACTCTAATCTATAATAAGCTTAAATTATTAACTCTTATAAGCTTTCAGCGAGGTTTTCAAAAGAATACGATATATAATATTTATATTAGTAATATATATCGTATAAAAAATAATACTCTATCGATACCTAGGTACTAGTAAATAGGATACGATTTTTAATACTATAGGCGAGACTATTATATAATCAATTTACTTATTTTCTTATACTCAAATATATATAAATATAAATACAAACCCCCCCTTCATCCCTACCTCCCTACTCTTCGCTAATCTTATAGCTCGCACTAGATAAGATTTAATCATATATACCTACCTAGCACCTAGATAGTTAATACTATATCGAATAAATCAATTGTGTAGACAAGGGAATTCACTCAAAGGAATTCACTTTAAAGAAATGACTTCCATATAATAGTAACTATATTAAAGGTATTTAGGCGAAAGCGAAGGAGACTAGCTCTTTCAGTAGTGCCTATATAAGGCCTACTATTCCTCTCATTTAGCTAGCTCCTTAGATTAAATACAAATAGACATTTAGGGGCCTACACATAGTAGGAACCACGTCTTCCGTATCTCTCTCAAACTAATATCAATCATCTTAACCAAATAAATAATCTAAGAGAGAGAGAAAAATATAAATATAAATAATATTATCTCACTTATTACTTATAATATAATAAATATACAATATAATAAAAAAGATTTAGAAGAAAGAGTAGATATATAAAAGATTACCTAGTATATATATATTTGAAAATTAGGTTACTGGGAGAGCTATTATAGGGACTGAAGTAAGTATTTATTAATTTGTTATCAGAGATACCTATCTATATAATATATAGTATACAACTCTGAGTTGGAAATCTTATTTCATCTCGTCTTATATCTTACATCTTACAATTAACGATTTATCAAATTAACTACTCGAATATTTAATACATATATACATATATACATACATACATACATACATACATACATACATACATACATACATACATACATACATACATACATACATACATACATACATACATACATACATACATATATACATACATACATATATACATACATACATATACATACATACACTAATACAAACAAACAAACAAACATGTATATAAACTCCTCATCCTTACCTACCTACCTACTCAGAAAAACATACAATTTCACATTTCGATACCAAAAAATGCGAAATTCAATATATACATAATTCCATTTTACAATACAATACACTACACTACACTACCTAGGTATACTATCATATATATATACCTAGTACCTAGGTAGGTATACCTAGATATCTATATCCACTGCTTACTACCCACTATGCACTATGCACTTCCTCCAATCATTCCTCCAACCATTCATCTATTCATAACAATTTCTCACTCAAACCATCTCATCTCATTCCATATCACACTCTATCACCCACCTCCATATCTCATCTCATCCCGCCATTCGTCAACTTTCGTGAAAACAAACTCGTACAATCTATAAGCACATCGCATTGCATTGCATTGCATTGCATCGTATCCCATCCTAACCCGCCGTATCATATCACATCATCAATCCATACACCCTCGCAAAACCAACAAATTGTCAACTATCCCATCCCATCCCATCCCATCCCATCATACAAAGGAGAAGAAAAAGAATCCCAAAGAACCCCCAAACCAACCCAATCCACAAAACTTGCATCCCATAACCAGAAATGAAAAACACTCTAAGCACCATACCTCCCACCCAAAGAAGAGATCCAAGTAAAAGCTAAAACCCCCTCACCTAAGGACCCAAAATATCCCTCACAATACACAAAATCCCATTGTCAGGACAAACCTTCTCCCTCACCAACCCCTTAGTCACCGGTCCCGTCGGTCCTCCCACATACTTCCAGAAGCCAAAGAATTTACTCTGTCTCTTATCATCCTCAGGATACTGAGCATCCCCCCATTTTCCCAAATACTCCATCGCCTGTACTGGACTATCCTCACTTGCTTTTGAGAATTCCTTGGTCGTAGCATCGTATGTGTAGAAATACGATGAGAGAACTGGATCCCATATTGTTCCTCTCGATGTATAATCTTGTAGTAATCCGGCTGGCAAATTTAAATCCGGGATCGTATGATCATGGGTCCCCGAAATCGCATAATTAGCATGACTTCCTCTCGCCGAATAAGCAATTGGTCTCTTTCCACTCTTCTCAACTACTGAATACTTGAAAGCTTGTCCGTTTGCATGTTGCGAGTACCAGACTGTTTGAGGAGTACCGTTTACGAAACGAATCATATTATGTTCCCAATCTCCTATATGGTTACCCAACTCTTGACCAAGTACTGTATTTCCTTGATTGTAGGCATAGAAATACATGTAGAAGACATCGACCAAACCATCTCCATGATCGGTAAGGATGACGGAACAGGAGATGGCATCTTGAGTGCGACCGGTTGTGGAAGAAGGGACAACTCCGGTTAGGAAGGTAGGGGAGGTGGTGATATCGACTGTGGATGTTAAATAGACTTCTGTGCCCCAATTGTTTAGCTGATCAATCGTCTCGAGATTGAGAGGGGATGGAAGAGTGTCCTCGGGTATCAACGAACGGTTGACATAAGGTTTAGTATTGAGGACCTGAGCGTATATATCCGAAGGAAAATACATTTCTGATTGATCTAACCAGACGAGTGGTGCTAATGAACGCACATGTTAGTGGATACCGTGATGATATGAATGTCTGATATACTGAATGAAACTTCTTACCATAATCAAATACATATGAAGGTAGAGTGGTATTAGGCAAAGCAGCTCCATTACCAAATCTGAACATTGCCAACCCCAAGCATGTCAACATATGCTGCTGTTGGTACAACATTGTAATTAATAGAGCAATTGCTATAAGCTTTGCAGACACAAGTTAGCTGTCTGAGTTCAACTTCAAATTCTATCCTGATATTGATTTTAACCCCACCAAGCTTGTATGAGCCGAGGATAATTATAAGAGGGGAAAGTCCGTCACAAATCACAAGAGCCAACATACCTCCAACCATATCGCAGCCCCAGGAAGCCTTTTCCTCGTAACATATCTGGACCATCCACAAAGCCATTGAACAGCCAAGGCATCAGCGTCTACTACCTCGGCATCTACGCCACTGGCGAGGCCCTTCTCCTCGTCCATTCTATCGGTCGATTTCTCCACGGCCATGATGTCCGTGGCTGATTCCAAGAAACAAGTTTAAATGCAGGCTCCAAGAATCCTATGTCCCACCTCGTATAGTATAATATTCGACCGTTTCGTAAAATAGTTTATTCGAATCCCAACAGGCCCGTCAACATTGATGCGCAGCGTAAGCGCGGAGAATCAAATCCGACCTCAATCAACTATTTCGAGTCCCGAGTTCCTGGCCCACCACACAATTTCTCGCAAGACCAATTCAGATCTTCTCGCAATGCAGTTTCTCACAACAGATATAATGTAAAATCTTCGGAATCCAGTTCGTTGGCGTAAAGGTATCGACGTCTCTTCTTCCCCTTACTTGTCTTAACTCTTCGAATCAATAAAATCCGCAGCTTCCCTACGCCCCGCGCTTCCTCTCTAAATACCAACTCCCGTCGCACCAAATAGGTATCGTGCCTATGAAAGTACCGTAAAGAAGGAGATCATGCAGAGCCCGCTCGTGCACATATAATCATCTACTCAATGACTGAATCATGCATTCACTGCGTCCGTCAAGAATACCTTCCAACTGAGTCAATGGCCGTACCGGAGGGTAGGAAACCGGTCAGGGTCGGTCTGTTGGTTGGAAAGCTTAAAAGAGAGGGTTATACACGACGGAATCTGCTCGTATATATTCAAGTCATCTGTAACAGTAGAAAGAGACCATACAACCATAGTTTTGTTCGTGGACATTAATAAGAAGTAGGTACACCTGGGCACACTCGACGCAGTGGAGTAGATGGGATCTGCCAAAACTGGTGGCTGATAAGTGGCTGATAAAGGTTTCAATGCAATCAACTTCCCCAATTGGTCTCAGCTTTCTTACATCATCTTCCACACTAACATTTCCTCGGCAGTTTCCACTCCGCAAAGCGCCACATGGGCATCGGACTGCTAACCGATTGGTTGGCTCTTCTATTTATATTTCGGTCATTCATCCATCAATTATCCCAGCCATGAACCGATTTACAACCCATGGTTTCTTGAATTGACATCTGACAAGGAGCTTTGATAATGTCTCTTGATCCATTTTATCATACGCTCCCGAGCAGTCATTTTAGGTTTCGCAGGTTTCAGACTTTATATAGTATAAGCATCACAAGCGATATCTAATGATTGCGTGAGTATGAAAAAAGGACAATAGCTTATAAACTAACTAGATAAGTGGGTAAACGAATGATATGCGCCATCCATGCCTTTCCCCTGAATCCTTATTCCATCCCACTCCCGAGTCTCCCAAGTAAGTAGGTAGGTCTTAAAATACCTATTCATCCATCAATCCCCTGCCATCCCTTAGCTTCTTAACCTGGTTTAATCCTATACACCCATACAAAAGAGAAGTTCATCTTTCTTCATCTATACACCTCTTACACCTACTGCCAACGCAGTGGCGAGCCAATAACAGGTGTGGTGATGTTCAAGATTACCTAGTACATAAATTACTTCCCCATGCTTGACTCCATTGCCCCTCCCACCCATCCCCACCTCTCTCATCATTAAATTGTACTATTCGTTCCCTCAGGACCTGATTACCGATTCCTGTCCTCCTCCCCTCTTCTAGGACTTCTACTGCTCGATTGAGAGGCTAGACTCCCGCTCAATAAATTCATAGAGCTATCAACCAACATACTCCTCCAACTTTCTCCTCGTCTACTAGGTCTGCCAGCGCGAGTTGGTGTAGGAGGAGAAATTCCTCGTTCTAGATCTCCTTCAATCTCGTCTTCAAGATTGCGGGAGATGGGCAGTGCAGACGAGGAGGCAGTATTTACAGTTTCTGCTGCTTGAGCTTGTATATCGTCATCACTGTCATCATCATGATACGCTTCATAGCGTGGAGAAGAAGGTGATCCTCGAGCGAGGGAACGAACGACATCGCCTTTACAGATAGGACATGTCCGGCGGCGAGTTGTTAACCAGGGTGTTCTAAAGAAAAAATTGTCAATAAATTGTAAACGAGGAGAGTAAAGAAATGGGCACGTACATGCAATCCACGTGAAATTCATGGCCACAAGGTAAACTCATGACTTGACTGACACCATCCACATATTCCTCTAAACAAACCACACACTCTATTTGCTTGCCCATATATTTCTTCCATTGACTAGGTGATCCAACGTTCTTCTCGTGCTCATTGGGCTGAGGTGCCGTGAGTAGTGGTACTTGTAGTGGATTTGAATTGACTCGAGCAATATCTCCAGGCTCTGGAATCCCAGTTGTTGTCCGTGATCTCGGACGAGGTCTACCTGGTGTTGTATGTGATAGAAGTGGGGTGGATGCTGAAGAGCTAGTTGGGGATGGAATCGTTGGAGATCGACTGCCAGGAGTATTAATGGTTTGGTAAGTTCTGACAGGTAGTCTTTCGACAACCGATTTCGGTGCTCTCCAACGACGTCGCCTTATTCTAGATCTCAGAAGTAGTAATGCGTAGACCACGGTCAAAGTGACAAGTGGACTAACAACTAATACTAACAAGGTGTCAAGGAATGGACTGGCTCCGCTGGTAGGTGTCAATGTAACCCAAAGACCATCTTCCTCATCCTCTTCGTCATCATCATCTTCATTCTCATCATCAATATCAACACTGCCCGTACTGCTTGATCCTGACGCGAGGAATTCAAAGTCCTCTTCATCATCACCAAAAATAGTGGTCAAAATACCCTTTGTCTTGCTACCAGATGAGCTTGACTTGTCTGTCGTCTCCTTGGCCTTGGTCTTATCCACCTCCGACGCAAGTTTAGGGGCATATTCTCCACTGCCAGGAGTAATACTTCCTCCTCGCAGTTTAGGCGCCGCTTCAGTCTCTTGTGTGGCACCACCTGAATTCTTTTTTCCTGCCTTTGTCGGCTGCGGCGATTGATTTTTTGCTTTATCTGCATCAAACTTTCCGTCCGTCTTTGCAATACCTGTTTTCGAGTTCTTTTCGGAATCCTTGCTATCAGATGACCCTACCAAATCTGGATCACGCCAATCCTGTACACCAATCACAAAATCATCACCTGATGCAGGCTTATTTCCACCCTTGCTAGTTTGCTGTGATTTTTTATCAGCATCCGCCTTTTCTTGACCTGTGAGTTTGGCGGTTGATATTTTTTTCGTGCCAGCGTTATCATCATCCTTCCAATCGTCAACAAGAACCCAATCAAGTTGACCGCTGCTCGGTGGCCGACTACTATCCTTTACCGAACTTCGTCCACCAGTTCCATAGAACAACGATTTGAACCACCCTGGCTTCTGCGTTTCGATTATTGTGGTTTCGCCTTTCACTTTTGTAGACTCCTTCTTAGTCGTCTTCTTCAGATTTGTTCGACCCGCCTTCGTAGCTTTGGGTGTAGCTGTAGTGGCTGTAAACGTGGGCTGAGATTCCTTCGTCTGCTTCTTTTTGGTAACTTTCTTGGCCTTGTCATTCTTTTGGACTTTCAATGTCGCCTTTCCACTTTCATCCAGTGCATCTTCCATAAAGGTGCCTGGGCCTATGAGTGAAGAGAGTAGATGAGCCGTAGTACGCGATGTAAAGATAGCTGGAATAGTGACATTTGATGTGTCACCTCGAGCATACATCTGAATTAGTGGTCCGCCACTTTTGTCATCACCAACAATCAGAGCAATACCACCCCTACGCTGTACCCATTTCACTTTTTCCAAAAATCCACAGCCTCCACGACTCAACAGTACAACCTTGCCAGCTATTTCCGCACCTTCCTGTATAGATTGAATATCTGCATGATTTGCCTTGAGATCTTTAGGTTGCTGGTCCATATGTTTGGATACTGCTGATCCAGATAGTGGATGGTGAAGGTAATCGTCGGTACCATCATCAGCCGAAGGCTTTCCTGCATTATGTTTGCCTTTTGAAAAACTACTCGACGTGCCATCGATGAAGGCTTTATCGTCATCATTTGCCCTTTTATTTGTTTTCGATTTGCTTGCAGTCGTCGCAGATTTATCGTCTCCAGATTTGGCTCCTTCTGCCGCGCCAGACTTTGCAAAATTATCGACCCAACCTGGCACATCACTACATCCTAATTCGCCTTCAGCCCCGGAGGCAACAGGACCTTGTCGTATGCTATCATCCCCAAATCCACTTCCTATCCATAACTGACCCTTTAATCCTTCGTTGGGAAGTAAAGGTCCAAAGGCAGCAGGCCTTGCTAGGAAAGCAGTCGTGTTGTCATTCGTAAGAGTTATAATCGCATTGGGAGGGAAGAGCGAAAATGGAGCTCGGAAGGAGAATAACGATTGTATTCCGGATTTTGGAGTAGTGGCAGTAGCAGATACATTCTGCGGTGAATGAGAGGACCGCAGAGATAAAAATGTGAGAAAGAAAGTAGTAAGGAGAAAAGCAGCAATGATCACGATTCTTGGAGGTCGCATGATGGGTATCGTAATAATTTTGAATTTCAAAAGCTTAAATAACTCGAAAGCGCCGACATACAACACCTTCAGCTCTTCAGCTGGATCTTGGACGAGCTTGATCGCATCCGACTTGACGGAAAAGGACCTGTGTAAAATACTCTTTGCTGCAAAAGACTAACAAAACAAAATTGTTGCTGGGAAGGGGGCAAAACAGCGTTGGAGGTGGTGAAAGTTGTCGTGGGTTGGGATACCAGCAGCGGAATTGAGCCACAAGAAAGTTGGTAGGCGAGCGGGATGAATCAGTTGTCTGTGACGATCACGCATTTTTAGTTCACGCAGGGCAGGGAGGGGAGGGGGTCTGTGGCTCAGGAATTTACGAGGTACGGTCCACGGGTATTACAATACGAACGAACGATAAGCTAGGCAACAAAGAGAGAGAATGATATGGCCAGTTATAATTCTCTATTTATTCATTTATGTAAATCAGTCGTTTTTGATATAACATTTTGTTATTAGTATAAAATCAATATATTACCAGTATATACCTACCTAGGTATATATATATATATACATGTGTATATATCTGTAATACCCCCTCTGACCCTCTAATCGCTATTGCTTATCATGCTACTCTCCAACTCCTACTCTCCAACTCCCACTCCACAACTCCAACTCCAACTCTACAACTCGTACTTCCATTGCGACGGATATTCATTTGTACTCTCTTGCCAGCAAAGCAAGAGCCATGCCAACACAAAGAGGTGCAGCAAAGGTATGAAAACGACTCCGCACATGCACATACACCTGGGCATCCCTAACCATCCTCGAATTCTTTGTTACACACACACACACTCAAATGGAGTAACAAGGATGAACATCAATGAGCTCACCGGTACCAGTGAACATCGATACCCGCAACTGGGTGTCTCATTGAAATTAATGGCATCCATGTATGTCATCGATGTACCACCGGGTAAATCAAATCAACTTGATCGAAAGAGGAAATTCGTGTGGCTGTGTTCACACGATTATTACCCACCCGAGAGTACCGAGCCACCCACCGAGCCACCCCGGCCCAGCCAGAGGTACCCGGTACCTACCGTGAATGAATTTATCGACTATTATATCACAGAAAAGGAGTTCGAAGTCTACGGAGTTCCTGCGCAGATTTCTAGTAGGTCGTTCATATATCTTCACATAATACACGATGTCTGGAATATCACACTCAAAGTTATTGCTATTGCCTACGTACCCACACATGCTTCTTTCTCGCTTTCTTCTACCCTCAGTTCGGTCTTACCAATCAATACTTCTACATCGTTTGCGGAAGTCACTCCGAACACTTGTTGTCGAATCCTTTGAAAATTGGCCAATTCTTCCATTCCTGAATGAAGGAGATTAATGGATTCTAAAGAATGAACCCCTTTTCATTGAAAGATATACTGTGCCTTTCATGTTAGGCATTTACATTCTCTGCTTTCCAGACAGGCACTCGACAAGATTTCCAAGCCTACTTTCAATATGTCTCTGTCGTCTCCTAACCAGCCTACGAGGAGCATTTTACAGGATGTTTCATTTACTGCCAACGGATTTCTCCAATCTTCCCAGATCGCAAACAAGATATTGTTTTCTCTGTATTACACACAATCTAATCGCGCGTCCTTTGGTATGTTATTAGATACATGTTGATTCGATCAACTCGTCAACTGGGCTACATTATCAAGACAATCAAGTTCATCTGCTGCAGCAACTCGTGAGCTCTGGCAGCACTTCAAGGTCAAGGCTTCAAATACTCAAGTACAGCTTTAAATTTTGATGTGGAATTCTCTCTGACAACCTTTCATCGACGTGGTACTCATTACTCGGTAGTTCTAAGCAATTGTTTTCGCCACATCAAGCCCCCATCCGTGCTCGACCCTTCACTGCTCCAAAACTCCTATATGGAAAGTTTAGACGCATCGTGAGCCGTTGAAATATCTCATCATATCTGTTCTATGATTTTTGTAGGGTTTCCGTTCTGTTTGTGAAGTCTGTCAGACATTCAAAACCTGTTTCAATGACCTAGATTATTTGAGCCATCACTTGGCTTGACATAAACCTAGCTTTCTTCAAGCCGCAATCGTCTAGCTACGTCCATCTTAACATATCAAATTGCAAGTTTTGCCTGTGGGTGAGGACGACGTCTGCCACAATGTCATAATTTATCATTATCTTCCCGCAGTGCATATATCCCGCTGTGGCTTGATCTCCTTCCAGTCTTTAACGAACGATTGTCTTACGATACAAAGGAGTGAAATCTGCAAACTACCCTTTTTATGCTATGAAGTCCCCGGCTTCATACGTCTGACGTATATGTTATTCTGGGCTTGGGGAGGGAGATTTATCCATTCGAAACCAGTTATGCTGTTGCTTTGTAGTTCGAGATCTGGAGCTTTCCCTCGGCGGTGCGGGGTTTTCTTTATTTTAAGTCGACCCCTCGGCTCTCTTTGTACATTACATTCCTCTTTCGCTGCTCATTATATTTACTTGTATGAGCATAAGGACTCAATTATTATTTTAATTCCCATTCTATACCCATTTGCATTGCCATTGTTCATTCAATTCGTCGTCGACTCAACTAGTCATCATGAATATCAATGAGCCTCGACATGGCGGTGGTTTCGTACTACCATTTTTCAACGACAGCAAAAGGTCGCGAAAGCCTCATGCCGGCAGAGATTCATTGAAGTCAAATCGAATCCCTCTCGTTAATTGGATACCAGATACAGTCAGTTACACAACAAAACCGCTCAAAAACGCTCATAAATGGCTTCACTTACACAATAAGACCCGAAATCATTTCGTGGCAACAATGGCAGAGTTCGCGGGAACGACCCTCTTTCTCTTATTTGCTTTCTCAGGCACCCAAGTAGCTCTGTTAGCAACGCCGGCCAATAGCTCGAACGTCGTCGGAACACCAAGCAATCCAGCTCAACTTCTTTACATATCTTTATGTTTTGGTTTCTCTCTAGCAGTCAATGCATAGGTTTTCTTCCGTATAAGTGGTGGCCTTTTCAACCCTGCCGTAAGAACATTCTTCTGCTCCTTCCCGTGCTCAATGATTCCCAGGGAATGGTATTAATAAAACATAGGTCACAATGGGCATGTGTCTTGTCGGAGCTCTCCCATATTTGCGGGGTCTTCTTTTATTTTTTGCTCAAATACTCGGTGGCATAGCAGCAGCTGCTATTGTTTCTGCTCTTTTTCCTGGTCCCATAACCTTCACCACTAGTTTGGGAGGCGGCACATCGATTGTTCGAGGTCTCTTTATCGAGATGTTCCTTACCGCTGAATTAGTTTTTACGATCTTTATGCTTGCAGCTGAGAAACATAAAGGGACCTTTATTGCACCGATTGGTATAGGTCTTGCTCTATTCATTGCAGAACTTACCGGTATGTACTTTAATTCAATTCAAACATTCTGACATGCAACCCTCGTCTCCACAAACAAACTAACCATACCCCAGGCGTCTACTTCACTGGCGGATCCGTCAATCCCGCCCGTTCCTTCGGCCCTTCAGTCGTCAGCGGTCAATTCAGCGGTTACCATTGGATCTACTGGGTCGGACCTATTCTTGGCGCCATCCTCGCATCAGGCTTCTACAAATTCATCAAGATGCTCGAATACGAGACTGCAAATCCAGGTCAAGACGCAGGACGCGTTGGCGAAGTGTTTGACCCAGAAGCTCAAGCTATCAAAAATCGAGTCAGTTTCGCGAGTGAGGGGATGGTGGGTAGAGAACTTGATGAAAGTGGTGCATCTCAGGTTCATGGAAACGGAAATCATTTCAAGGCGCCACAAGAATATGGGACTAAGAGAAGACCGTTTAGTGATAGTCCTGCCCCACCTAATCCGAATGATCAATTTGCAGGGTTGAGTGAAGGGGGGATGCATGCGGATGAATTTGCTAATGGGAATGGTGTTGGTATTCATGGTGGGGAGGGAGCAGTGCACAGGAATAAGAGAGATAGTGAAGGAACCCTTGTGGAAAATGGGAAGAAAGGCGCTTTGAAGGCTGGCACGGGTGGTGCGTCTGTGGGAGGTACGAATGATAATTTGAGAGATAATACGCAGAATAATCAGAGGATTGGTCAGGAGACGGGAGCGCAGAGTGGGGAGTTTTATGATAAATGAGGGGGTTGCGAGTGCAACGTGCGAAGTGCGGTGAAATTGGTAGTTGAATCGTATGGTATGGTATGATATGGTATGGATGGGGTTTATGCGGGTGTTTCATTACATATATGTTGTAGGTTGATTATGGGGTGTGTTATCGTGTCGACAATATATCGTGTTGGTGCGTTATTTGCAATGTTTTGGATAACATGTATGGATTCCGTTAATGATTATAATGACTTTCTTTTCCCTCACAATGTTTGATAAGGTTAACTTACAGTTCCAAGTAGTGTGGGCGAAAATGAGTTGAAGTTGCTAGTATACAAGTGTCATGTCCTTATATATTCAAGTTATATGTATACTCGTGGACGTACTTGATTATATTTATAGTTTTATCAGAGTAGGTATTTTCCCTCGGGTGTAATGAATTCTTATCTATGAGTATCTCTCTCTCTCTCTCTCTCTCTCTCTCTTAAAGAGTAAGAAGAGTAAGAGTAAGAGTAAGAGTAAGATAAGTTATGTAGATAAATAGATAGTTCTTACTTATATATTCCTTATATTCTTACGATATGTATTTATATATGAATAATATTTATTAGTAAGTGAATATATTAACGACATACTTTTCCACTTTCGAATTTTTTATAGAGTTTATTTTTATTTTTCATTTTTTTAATCGGTATTTATATTTTGATTCTTTTTTTTTTCTTTTTTCTTTTTTCTTTTTTTGAGAAATTCTAAGAAATTATAGTAATATTTCGTAATCTTTAAGATGTTTATTTGATATTATATTTTGAAAGATATTTTAAATATATTTTTGTAGGTAGTATTTTGTTATATAGGTTGTATATTTACTACTAGTCTAAATGTTATCTAAATTAAAAAGACTCCATTTATTATTATTATTTTTAGTCTGTTTTCAATCGTTTGAAGTTTGTAAAGGAGAGGAAATATCGTATATCTATATATGAGCGAGTTATTAGATTGAAGATACTAGTTTTAGCGTTCTTGAGAGTGGTTTTCTGCGATTTCGTTGAATATAAAATATAAGTATACGAAGATTTCATATCAAGAGAAAATGCGATAGTATGATGGAATTACATATTATTGATTAAAAATCAGGCTTCTCTGAAATTTCCTACTGTACAGTTGTTATCTTCCAACGATATCCCCAAGCTCAGCAATGTGTCTAGAATACTCCTCTATCTGGACTCCAGTCTTTCCCTTAGACGTGCCAGTATTTGTCGTGCTTCTTCCCGTGCTTCTTCCGCTTTTTGTTCCCCCTCAAGCTGGCTCCGGATTCTATCATCCTCGTCCTCATCCTCGTCATACCTCCGCGGTGTAGTCTCGCTCATGTTGGCTCTGAATTCTTTCGCTTTCGCTTTCATTGTCGCTGACATCTCCGTGATGTGTTCCCGCTCACGCTGTTCCTTGGTTCTATCATTCTCGCTATTCACTCGCTGGTTTGCATCTTGTGTTGGTCTTCTGCGTTCGTCCTCCTTGGCATGCTCTAATTGTCTTGCATTTTCTGTTTGTTGTGCAAAATCTGTCTGGCTTAAATGTCTTTTCTGGCTTGGACGTCCGATCTGGCTTGAATGTCTTGCCTGGCTCGAATGTTTTGCCTGGCTTGATTGTCCTGCCTGGCTTGAATGTCTTTCCTGGCTTAAATATCCCGCCTGACTTCTATGACCCTCTTCCCTCATTTCACCTTCTTCCATATCGATATCAAATTGGGGACCTACATGTCTTCTATCTACACCCTGGCTCGAGGATTCTCCAGGTGCGCTGGGTTGTCTCCTTGTAGGTGCATTTCGTTTTTCAAGCTCTTCCTGTCTTGCGGGTGCAGGCATCCCCAGATTCGTGCGTCTCCGTCCTTCTCCTTCCCAGAATTTCTCAACTTGTCTTCTTTGCTCCTTTTTTGCTTCCTCTAGCCTTTCTTTGTGAAGGTTCACTGGCGAGCCCTGTGTCGCCTTCTTCTAGCAATCGATACATGGACGTCGCATGTTTTCGGCAATCCGAGCCGGGTCCTCTTCAGTGAAAGTTGTCCACTTGTACTCCTCGCAATGTGCTACTTTCTTCTCCTTGGCAGTATTGCAAACAGATAGACCCATGAATCTCGTACTATATTCTTCCCATTTAACGTGCATGTGCCAGTCGCTGCATCCACAAACCGAGTAAATCTTGACACACATCTAGATTCGTTAGTTACTGGGTGGACTATGGGTAAAATTATTACTTACCATGTGATGTATATCACTGGACACTAAACGAAGAATTAAACTCGATAATCGCTGGTATTTCTGTGTGTAGGTAGGTAGGTAATGATTGTCAGCTCACTATATGCACCAAAAGCCACAACGCAGTACACACCAGAAGTTTCTTCTAGAGAAACAGGGTACTCACTTAGGATCAAGCGCTTGATGAAAGTACAGCAAGGTACGGAATTTGGTTTGGAGAATCGAAAGTGTGATATTTGGACAGCTATACAGTATAAGCTTATTGTGTGGACTCCAAAATCCAGATTCCCGGTACCCACCTGAAGTGTTCTGAACAATATGTGTTGTTTGAGGATTGTATGTTTGAATGCTTAAGGTATTTGGATTGTTGAAAAGGTTGAAGAGCTGGAAGGGATAGAGAGAGAAAGGGCGAGGTAGAGGTATGAGTTGCATAGTCAAGTAGCGACAATTCAATAGTTGAGTGGGAGTCTTGCTCAAATGATGGAAAATGAAGAGATTATTCATATACATATTTGACTAACGGGAGAAATGCCCTACTCATCATTCCACATTTCTAATATGCAGTCACCCCCCTTCTTATGAATCAATATATCTTACTGTTACATATCCTTTCGCTCGGGGGTTTTGACTAGTCAGACGTATAAGTTCTTTAGAAACTCATGCTTTGTTCACTTGGAATTTCTTGATTCAACGGTGATATCACATTGGGCCTATGGATAAATGATTGCGAAATAATCATATTTCTTAAAAAGTCAGGCTAACTAATTTTCGTGCATCTTGCAGCTTGAGAAACTTTTTTCCCTTCCCTTGACCCCGTCATTTTTTTGTTTTAAAATCTGGCATTTTAGTATCTTTAGCAATTAGAAGAAATATTAATAAGAAACCTTTTTTCCTATCCTCCCACATGTGATCGCTTACGAACCGAACCTCGAATATCCTGGTCCTGAACCACCGTCCAACTACCATCCATATCAGTACTTCTTGATGCACCGAGGTCCTAAAACATAGTCTATTTATCACAAAATGAAACAGCGGTCTTTTCCATTGTGTTTGCTTTTGCCTTTACCATGGCGACGTCTTTGCTTCTGGGCTGGTTGTTGCACTTGGCCAGCGTTTCCAGGATCCATCCCGCAGGACTCTTGCAATTGATAGAGAGCTTCATTTTGTCTCCGAAGTTGGGCGGGATAATTATCAGCATCGGAAATATCTAAGCCTTTACGTACTCGGTGAGCTGACTTTGCCACGTTTAGGCCAGGACTGCCTGATTTTGGATGTGTTGTTGATGATGTTGAGGTACGGTCTGAATGGGATATCTGCTCTGGCTGGCGGTAGGTCTGCTGCCCGGCTTTGGAGGAGTGATCACCTGTAGGTATGGATGTATGTGGCGACCTTTGAAGATCGCCTTGATAGGAATTACTTGATTTTTGATATGATGCTACTGGTTTCGAAGGTGGAGGCCTGGCAGACAGAGATGCTTGTTTTGCTTTGTAGGACGTCTGCTTGGTAGGTTGAAGGGAAAGATTGCTCATTTTGGCTAATAAATTTGAGGTATGGAATGGAAGAGAAGACCAACAGTGGAGTCACGTGGGGCGTCGGATTGGAACACAGTATTGAAATAAGATTGAGTATTGAAAGAAGATTGATTGCAGAAGCAGATTGTGTATCTTTGACTCTTGATTTCGCTGGACAATGTACGTTCTTTCGTGTGCAGAAGAAATGCTGTGTAGAGAAGAAGAGAAAAAAAGTACCCCAACTCGAGGAACCTCGAGCCTTAAGAGCACATTGGAGAGGTAGATTCTGCGCTAAATTCTGCAATTATCAATGGTTTTCTGACTGGAAATATCATTTGAAGCATTATTCATATGCCAAAAGAATATGAATATGCATTTACATTGGTATGAATCCCATTTCGAGTCACTGAGAGGGAGGAAGCTTTTGACTAATCTTACCATCTGAGGTGATTCATACGTGGAAATTCATATGGTATGACACTTCAAGCAGCAAGAACAGTCACTTCGAGCCATACAGACGGATTTTCAATATGAATATCTGAAGGTTCATTTGTGAAGCGTAAAAATGTGGCAAGACAAATTCATATTTTCTAAAAGTCAGGCTATCTATTATTTCCATGCGTCAAACGCCACTATTCCCATCCGTGAAATCCTTCTATCCTATACGCATACATATCCTCAAATCCGCTCTCGGTCCGAACTCACTCTCTATTCCGTCAATACTTTGATATTCTCCTTGGCTGTCTGTCCCAACTTTGCGAGAGCCAATTTGGCCCGTTCAATTTCTGCTTGGCAGTATCTGCAATTCATAGAGATAGTCTGGAGTTCCCCTCGCTCTGCATCTGTTGGTTCTCTTATATCGGAACAAAAGTCCCCTCGACCCGCGGCAGCACCACATTGCGTATGGCCCCAATTGAATATACCTCGAGATGTTTCATCTTGGTGCCTAGGGGTGCAAGTAAACTTGACATATATCTATGATAACACATCTAAGTTCGTTGATGTTAGTTGCTCTTCGTTCTTGACTGCCTGTAGGCGAGAGAGCCACGTACGATGAAATATGTATCGCTGAATGTTGAACAAGTAAATACACCTTGTAGCGGCAATTCTAGACTTGTTGCTAGATCAGATATCAGCTTGTGGTATTCTATTCTCAAACTCGATACGTACCAAGGGTTGATAATCAAAAAAGAACCAAGTGTTCGCTTAATGTAAAGTGTTGAAACAGAGCAGAAGGTAGACTCGCGAAGGATGTGTAGAGAGATTCGACGTAGGAGTTTGTTGAAAAGGGTATTGACACAAGATAGAGAACCGAGAATAATGCGTTCTTGGTGTAGAGTAGATTATTGATGTAATTTGCTTGTTGAAACGATATCCAGAGTTGTCAGAGTATACGTTATAGAGGCAGGAGGGTAGACCAGAGTTCTTGAGATTTGGCAGCGAAGAGATGTCTGGTGCTATCGAGAAGATATACTGTGTGAAGAAGAAAGGTTCTGGAAAGGGGGGATTCTCGAGCCTCTTATGCACTTGGAAATAGCAAAACATATGACTGAATATAGCATTTTCGGTCATAGAGAGGGTTTTGTAAGTACCTAGTATGTACACACTTGATATATGATTCATGTGTCAAGATGAGTGTGAGAGAATACTGTGATGGGATCAGTCATCGAGAATGAATTCATGAGTGAAATTCTCACTTGAAGTGCTGCTGATGCGTCAAGCTGGGCATGGAACAATGATTCCAGTCACTAAGCAGGAATTATGAGCATAATTTATGCATCAAAAGCAATACGAAATGACACTTTCGCCAATATAGACAACATTCTCAGTCATCGACAGGAACTTTATGGATAATGCTACTACCGAAAGACTTGATAGTACGTCAAAATAGGTATGCAATGATATTCCACGGATATGAAGGCTATCTCCAGTCACCCAATTATCACAATGGGTATGAAATGACTGTTACATCCAAGTTTAACTGACTATTTAAAGAATCATTTACATGTCAAAATGAATACAAATGACTGTAGAAAGACAAATTATTACCTACCTTGCGGAGGAGAAGTTCGAGTAACGACTATCCAAAGCACTTTTTGTGCGTAAGAATGCGACTTTCGCATTCATTACCAGGGATCACATCACACCATAAAGGAAATATCATCATGACTTTCCTTCTGACTCCTACAGCTCTTCTCCTCTCCCCTGATACAAGCACGGAAATCCATTCCATCTCGAAGCCCACCACGCAGTGCAGACAAAGAAGTATATAATAACCCCTAATAACTAGCCGTAGTTATGAACATCCAAAATGGATATATAGACGAGCTACTACATGGTCTTATGAGAAAAACGAGCAATACTCTGAATTTATGCATCTAAGCGGACCAAGTCAAAAGTTCTCGGATGCCTAATCTGGAAACTTCCAAAAGATGCTTTGCAACTTCCTTGCCCTCTTCGCGTCTCTTAAATTTTTTATACACTGCTTTCATCACATGAGAATGGAATAGTGAAAACTTCTTTTTGATTGGTCGTTATTTGCATATTAGAACCTATTATTGCTCTATTATGCGCCTACAATGCAAACAAATCTATAAACCAATACCTAGTATTTTGGCTTAATTAGAATACCTTTGAATGCTTTTAATATCCCCTTTGATTTGAAACCTTTTTACATAACCTCGACCTGGTTCTCGTCACTCTCACTCATGCTCTCATCTCCGCTAACTTCGGCGTTTTCACGTTCTCTCTTCTCCATGAGTGCTTGCAATTCAGCATCATCGTTCTCAGTAACCGCCTTGGGTTCCATCTTGACGATCAATCCACCTCCTGCGGCTTCGATGTTCTTTCTGATGTCCACGATTGCGGCTTCCAAAGTCGAGATACCGACGGATTTTTCCAGACATGTACTTGTGAGAACGTAGAGTGGTGGGGATACGAGCTTGACTTTAACTTGGTTATCGGCGGTGTTTCTGGCTTCAGCAGTTCTTAAAGCGGTCTTAACGGCATCAATTCCCTCATATCCAAAGCAGGTAACTTCGACATCAGCACGGACTTTTGTTGGTTGTGGTGTAAGACGTTTTCCAATATATGATTTTAATTCCTCGGCGACAACATCGTTAGGGAATTCGACATCATTCCAAGTTTCGGCGTTTCTGCTTTGACGTCAGTACTACATATATAAAATCCAAGTGGTTCGGAGTTTCCATACGTTATCGAGAGCTTGAAAGCATCAACAGCATGTCCGTATTTCTTGTTCAATGGCCAAACAATTTTCTCGTACAACTCTTCGATAGGATGCTTGGTCTTTTCCGCAACGTGGCGCATAATCGAATGAACCATTTTACCCTTATTGTATCGTTCCTCGCATCTTACAATATCTTCAGGTGACACTCTTCGTTTGGAAAGATCGATATAACCTGCAATTGACCAGATCAGCCTTCAGCCACAAAATGACATTCAACAATTTTCTGCATACCCTTTTCCTTGTCGACTCTGAGAACAACGACAACCTCATTACGTCCAACACGAATAAGTTTTTGGATACTTCTAATACGACGTCTAGATAATTCGGAGAGGAGAATCATGCCATCGATGTTATCGTATTCGAGGAGCTTGACATAAGCACCCATCTCTGCGATCTGCGAAGCTGGAGATTAGCATTTACCCTATGCCTACGAGTGCGCCTCTGATTCCATACCTGCTTGACATTCACCATGACGAAGCTATCGATCTCGGGGTATTTTTCTTCATAGAAACGGCAATTTGTGAGAGACATGATTGCGATTGTTGCGCGGCTGAGCGCGAGGTGAAGATGTGAAGGGTTTTGTTTGGCTTCGTCGCCGAATATGAGAAGCTTCTTTAGATGTCAGATCCGATGTTGTGAATTATGTTGATATTGTTATTCTTTGTACAAATTCAAATTCGTGATAGATTTCTCCCCAAGTTGACAAGGCTCTAAGGTTGAAAGAGTCACAATCTTTCGGTCGGGGATTTGGAGAGGGGCCGGTGGTGGTGGTGGGATGGTCTCGCTAAATAAAAAAAAGAGTTGGACACTTTTGATTGGTGCGATGACGTCTAAGTATCGAATGTCTTACATAACCTTGTTGGATTTACCTGAAGCTTCATGAATTTGTTCCCTGTCACTCGATTGTCTACGATATCGTATGTGTGATCGATTGATTGTTTTTCCATAACAACGACTATTGGCCGTATCAAACTATGGAATCTTTATCGATATGCCAAAGTGGAGTATTTTTGAATAGCAGTCGATTCTGCTAAATCATTTACAATCTTTTCATCCGGAATCATGTCTTCTGAAACTGTTTCCTCCCTTGTGGGAAGCTCTGTGAGCTCCATGGACTCGACAATAGCTTCAGCCATGGCATCAGTTACTGGTATACCAACAAACCAAACAGATGTTGCAGTGGCAGGTTCAACATTTGGAGTCTTTGGAAAAATGATCATGTTCTTCATCAGAGTGATTCCTGGAATTCTGTACTGGGTTATAACTTTCACGACAATTACAATGCCGACTTTCCTCTTTACGCTGTTCTCAACTAGCTTGACATTTACCATGAATGCTACTACTTTGTATGTGCCGCTCGGTTTACTATGCTGTGTTTGCTAACTGCTTGTTTCAGAATGCTGATCATGGTGGCATTTGTGTCAACCATGAGTTGGTTCGTAAGATATCGATTTCTCAATATGTATTCTCGATTACCTCCGGAACCTCAGCGAAAGGAGCCCCAAATAGACCTCTATCCAGACACGCAAGATGAAGGATCAAAGTCAGGGTTTTCCAATTACCTGGATGAGTTTCTGAGCGCCATCAAGATCTTTGGTTATTTGGAACGCCCAGTCTTCCACGAACTCACACGCTCCATGCAAACGAGAAAGCTCATAGCTGGTGAAACCTTGAACCTTGAGGAGGAGAAGGGATTCTGTCTAGTGGTTGATGGATTAGTGGAAATCTTTGTCAAGTCGGCTCGAGAGGGACGTGGATCGGATACCGATCC